TTTCACTGCAGAGGGCGTAGGTTTGATCCCCGGTAAGGGAACTAAGATCCTGCAAACCATACCAAAAACAAACAAAAACAAAAATTAAAAAAAAATTTAAAAGTCTAACTAGGAGGCTAGTTTAGCAACTGACTGCAGCTCTCGTGGAAGATTTTGCTAAGGGAAACACAGGTGCCCGCTAAGATTCATGCAATTTAGCTGCTCTCTATTAATAGATTTCTTAAAATATCAATGAAGAGGAAGATGGGGTTATTTCATTTTGGACTCAGGCTTGGATGGGAAAATAGGAGAAATGAGTAACTGAAGAAGTCTGTGTCATCATTCTTGATAAGCCTCACCCTTTTTATCTGATCAAATAGGGAGTTTGTTTTCACATGTTTCTTTATGAATAATACGGTTTTTCAAACAGGAAAGTAAAACTCTTGCTGTTATTTAAGATTCTATTCAATATCTTGTAATAACCTATATTGAAAAAGACTCTGAAAAAGAATACACACACACACACACACACACCTGAATCATTGTATAAATAAATAAATATATATTATATATATATAGGTATACATCAAAGTGATGTACAATCAACTCTTCTTTCAGTAAAAAAAAAAAAACAAACCACGAAACACTATTGAACGAAAAAAGAAAAAAATAAAATTGACAGATATACGGTTATTTAGAAAAGGACTCTCATTAACCAACACACTGATAGGTGAATGCTGGATTTGGGCTTCCCCAGTAACTCAGCATGGAAAGAATCTGCTGGCAATGCAGGAGACGATGCAGACCTGGGTTTGATCCCTGGCTTGCAAAGATCCCCTGGAGGAGAAAATGGCAACGCACTGCAATGTTCTTGCTTGGAACATCCCATGGACTGAAGAGCGCGGCAGGCTGCAAGTCCCAAATGCTGCAGAGAGTTGGACGGTACTGAGCATGAACCTGATGGCATGTTGGATTCAGTGTAGAAAATATAGACGAAGGAAAAAGAGAAAAGCGCTGAGAAGGGTGGTGGGGGCTAGAGAGGAATTTTGTGATCGAAAAATAGCGGGGGCCGTTCGGGCACTTGGCTCCTCTGAGTGGATACACCAAGGGCCTGCCGGGGTGGGGGGGCGTTGGACAAAGTTGTTCTGGGGCTCAGACCTTTCCTGAGCTGTGCGTTTGAGATCCTCGGTGGTCTTTCATGAGTGAATAAGCGTAACATTTTACCCCGTCAGAGTTTTCTCTTCTATTTTATATTCAGTTGCTGTTAATTTGAATTCCTTTCTCCCTGAACAACTTGCTGTTTGGAGTTTTCCAAGGACACATTTTATTAATTTTTTTTTCTCATTATAAAAGCAACACTTATTCACTGTAGAAAACTCAGTGAATACAGAAAAGGAGAAAGAAGAAAATAAAACAAATTTATTGTCCTTCTACTCACGGCAGCCGCTTGCACATCTCCTTTGAGCCCTGTGACACCTTCTGGAGCTGGCTGGCTGGACTTACTGACGACCTCGGGCCTGGCCTCCACCTCCATCCTCTGTCCTTCCTGCCTCCTCCCCTCCCCATGCCCTTTACTTCTGCCACTCCCCACTAAATCACAAACAGCTCCCCAAAATTAAAAGTGCAAATGTCACTATGAATATTGTACTAACTCAGAAAATTGGGGATGGGACAGATCCACAGGTAAGGGCAGAAACTTGCCCGTTAGCTTTGATGGGACGGGAGACCACGAGCACAAGCCACCTGGAGAAGGAGCTGGGTGAGAACCAGGAAGGAGCTCTGGGGTTCCAAGAAAGCTCACCTTCTCCACCTTTATAGGGCTGGCAGTGCAGATCTTTCTAGAGCAAAGGCTGTCTTGTTCACTGTGTTCAAATGAGGATATACAGCACACAGCACTTGAAAGAACTGAAAGTGAAAGTTGCTTTACAGTCCCTGGAATTCTCCAGGCCAGAATACTGGAGTGGGTAGCCTTTCCCTTCTCCAGGGAATCTTCCCAACCCAGGGATTGAACTCAGGTCTCCCACATAAGTTCTACCTATGAAGCAGGCAGGGAAAGGATAGTTTTTCCATTTCTAATCTTCACTATATTTTTATTGACTCACTGAGAAATACATTAGAAATATTACAAGATTGTGTACAGTTTTTTTTGTGTGTGTGTGTGTGTGTACAGTTTTTATAGCCAGTGCCTTGGCTGAGGGCTGGTTACGTGAGAGGCATAGACCCCTGGTCACTGACCTGCACCAGAATCTGCCCGCAGAGGGGTCAAGGTCAGGACAGAGTCTTGGCAGTTGCAGTAATCATTTGCAGTGAATAAAACACGCATGTATTTTTTAACAATGTATTTTGTCTGCCCATCCTTGAAACGTATGCTTCAACAACTTGATTGATGCTGTAATTCTACAAAACTCTTGATTGTACAGACACTGAAAGAATTTTTTCAGTTTTTTACAAGGTCCTCTTTTTGACAATGCTGGAGACATTTTCCCCCTCTAGTCTCAGTTCCAGACATTTTCATTTTAGCAGACTGAATATACTACTTCTTTTCATAAAATAAAAGGTAGAGCTGGGTGAGTAGCCACCCTTTTAGCAGCTCTCAAGTCTCAGATACCATGAACGTACAGCTTTTGACTTCTATCTCATCATTTTCCCACCTATTTTTCATCTGACTTATGTTCTTCATTCTTTTATTCAAAACTGTGTTTTCTTTCATGGCCTATATATCTGTATAACCCATTTTACATTTTGCATGGAATAAAACAGAATGTAAATAAGGAAAATTATTATGCCCCAAATACTAAGCGTTAAGTAGATTATGACTCAAATCGCCAAAGGCAGGGAAACCATAGAGTGTTTTTGTAACTGCCCGTCACCATTAGTTTGGCTTTGTGCACCAGAGCCAGTGCATGCATCTTTTCCAGTCCCACCCAGGCAAGCGTATTCATGGTGCCTTTGACATCCTGCTTCTACCCTGGTGCTTTATGGCTCAGTAACAGAACTAGTTGTCTGGGTGTGGAGCCCATGAAAGCAAGCCTTTTTTTTTTTTTTTTTTTTAATTTCTTTTTTCCTATAAAGACTGCCTGATCTATTTTAGACAGGGTCTGGGTATTTGTGGTAATAGGCATGATTCTCTTGTTCTGTTATAGTTCAAGGTCATTCTGATCATAGATCTATTTAAAGCTTTTTAAAAAAGTTTAAGAAATTCACAGCACCAGGAAAGAAGTAGGGAAACCAAAGTGCTAGTCAAAACACTTCTCTGAGACTCGTGTGTGAAGGCCTAAATAGACATCTTTGCTGTGTCCTTGTCAAACTATTTTTGGTTTAGCCTTTTAATTAAACTGTCATCAGGATCTTTTTAGAATCCCACTCTACTCTCCGACCCATTCTGAAAACGAGGTGAAATTGCATATGCACTTTAAGATCTCAGTGACTGCTTTAGACTCAAGTTTTATCTACCAGGGACACAGGGAGTTCAAGTGTGTAGGATTCTGGGGATCTACAAACTGTTGTAAGCAGAAATTTCTAAAATAAATTATTTTATTGAAGTACAGCTGATTTACAATGTTGTGCTAATTTCTTGTGTAACAGCAAAGGGACTCAGATATATATAAATTCTTTTCCATTATGGTTTATCACAGGATATTGAATATAGTTCCCTGTGCTATACAGGAGGAAAGTGAAAGTGAGGGCCGCTCAGTTGTGTCCAACTCTTTGCGACCCCATGGACTATACAGTCTGTGGAATTCTCCAGGCCAAAATACTGGAGTGGGTGGCCTTTCTCTTCTCCAGAAGATCTTCCCAACCCAGGTCTCCCACATTGCAGGTGGATTCTTTACCAACTGAGCTACCAGGGAAGCCCCTTGTTGTTTATTCACCCATAGTTTGTATCTGCTAAGCCCAAACTCCCAATGCACCCCTGCCCCTCACCTTGGCAACCACAAGACTCTTCTCTATGTTTGTGACTCTGTTTCTGTTTTATACATGTTTTTTTGTTTCATGTGTTAGATTCCACACATAAGTGATGTCATATGATGTTAATGCGTCTTTCTCTTTCTGACTGATTTCACTTATCACAGTCTTTAGGTCCATCCATGTTGCTGCAAATGGCAAAATCTCGTTCTTTTTTATGGCCAAATAATATTCCATTGTATATATGTGCCACATCTTGTTTATTCATTCATCTGTTGATCAGCCATCAGTTTTTTTTTTTTTTGGCTGTGCTGGGTCTTCATTTGCAGTGTTCAGGCTTTCTCTAGTTGCATGGATTTACTAAGCAGGTGACCGGGAGCCTGTCATTTGCTGTCCTAGGAATGCACCTCTCAGTACAAAAGGGCCCCTGCTTTGCTCACTCTTTCAATCACCTGGGAATCTTTATGATCTGCTCCTGCTTGGCCCTGCCCTCAGACAAGCTGATTTAATTGGTCAGGGACAGTGGGGATTGAGAAGCTCTCCAGGAAATTCTGGAGCACAGTGCAACTTAGGAACCACTGATCTGATAGCTACCATCACTGCCTCTGCATCTTGTAACATCTGAAAGTGATTAGCAAAGTCAGAATAAAACCTTGATCCGCCTGAGCCCTGAGCCTACCAGAAGGGAACTGCTGATCTTTCAACTCGAGCACTTTATACCTATTTTCTGTGAGTTTCTTAGAAATGTTTACTAAGACTTAACTTATATTAAGACTTAACTTATATTTTCATACAACAATAAAGGCGAATCTTCATAGTCAGACAAAGCCAGAAGAAATTAGTCATGTAAGGTGACATCAAGTCTATCTTGCTAAGCATTTAATATAATCCTAAATGGTGCCAAGAACAGTTCAAAGTAGTATTAACAACTGCTTTGTAAACAGATAATGAAAGTTCCCTGTTACGATATGTAAGATCATAAAAGTGGGTTCTGGACCAAGTTTTTCAGCATGTGGCAAAAGTTTCCTCACCACCACCCCCCCGCCCCCCACCAGGCGATTCTCTGGGCACCAGCTGAATGTCCTACAGTTCAACACAATTCTGACTGCTGTTACCTGGAGATGGTGTCTGTCCCCACTTCAGGCGCCAATCAAACATCCAGCCTTTTGCCTGGCCCACTGGAGATCAAAGGTTCCGATGCCCTCAGCTGTGGGCTATGTTAATTTGCTCATAGAACTCAGAGAAACACTTTATGACCACTCGTTTATTACAAAAGACTGTAACTCAGGAACAGACAGAGGAAGGCGATGCTAGGGGTAAGGTATGTGGGGAAGGGTGTGGGATGCCCACGCTCCCTGACGAGTTTACCGTCCCCACATTGCCACATGTTCACCAACCAGAAGCTCCCTGGACCCGGTCCTTTGGGGTTTTCATGAAGGCTTTGTGGCACTGGCACAACTGATCAAATCATTGGCCACTGGTAACATTCAACCTCCAGCCCCTCTCCTCTCCCTGGAATTGAAAGATCCAACCCTTCAACTGTGTGATTTGTTTCCTGGCAACTATATGTGTTTCTGGATAAATGAGCTAGAAATAGAACATCACAGTGACCTAGTCAGACCAGAGTGGCAGACTCCTGTTGGGGTTCCAGCTTTTCCCTTTATAACCTTGTGACCCGGGACCAGGATTCAGGGTACACAGAAGGTGGGCACCATCAGCCTCAGCAGGATGAAGGCTGCTCAGGGCCCATCGCAGCTGCGGCCTCGGGCCACCTGGGGCAAAACTGATCACGCTCTAGCACGTGAATCACCGGGGGATGTTTTCTGAATGTAAATTCCAACTCAGCAGGTTTGGGATTTGGTCTGGGATTCTGCATTTCCAATAATTCCTGGTGATGCCACAACTGGTGTACAGGCCACACTCGGGATCTAGATAACTTAGCATGAGAGCTGCTCGGTCCCCTGCTTTGGTGCTCGACTGACATCCTGTTCTTTCTCTGTCTCTGTGTTTCTCCATATACCTATAGCTTCTGTCCCTCCTCCAGTTGTTTGTATCTTAATTACAACTAGTTACTAATTTCCACAAGGGAAAAGATTGAATTGATTCATTTCAGAATAGTGGTGAGATGGGCTTCCCTGGTGGCTCAGATGGTAAAGAATCTGCCTGCAGTGTGGGAGACCTGGGTTCAGTCCCTGGGTTGGGAAGATCCCCTGGAGGAGGGCATGGCAACCCACTCCAGTATTCTTGCCTGGAGAATCCCCATGGACAGAGGAGCCTGGTGGGCTGCAGTCTGTGGGGTCACACAGAGTCAGACACGACTGAGCACACAGCACAGTGGAGATACAGGACTTTAAAAACTAAGCTTTCATCCTTTCTCAAAGTTCCTTCATCTTTCACACCTTCTAAATACTCTTTCACACACTAGCATAACTTGTTTTACCAGAAACAACTTTATCTTCTGCTCTTTGGAATGAACCACATTATCCCTCTGCTGTCTTACATGCCCTGCTGACCAGATTTAAGCCCTTCAGAATCCCACAGAGCCGGAGAGGAAAGGTCAAATTCAAGAGGCAGGAAGTAGAACCCGTGGCACTAAAGGACAGGTCTCAAGGACACAGCCAGCATCTTTGGAAGGAACCGCAGAATTACAGAGGGTCCAGCAAATGGCATCCAAACTTGACGAACCCTGCTTTCCTGAAAGTTCCTAATGTTCTGTGTGTCAGGGAGTTGGACGTGGCAGCTCCACGGGTTCGTTCTGGAAGAGGGCAGGAGAGCTTAGTCAGTGTGTGACGGTTTCCGTCTTTAGAGAAGCTTGCAGCCATTCCGCGTCAGCTGTGCACGGTCCCTTGTGATGTGAATACAGTTAAAACGCAACAGAGGCTCATCCAAGCGTGTCAGAAGCTCAAGTCGGCCTGTGGATAACTAAAAGGCTTAAGATTTTTCTGCAGATTTGTGCTAATTGTTGACTCAGGACTTCACTGGCTCAAGATGGTATATTTTACCAGCTTTTTGTATTTTGCACTCACTAACTTTGGCTCAGACGGTAAACAATCTGCCTGCAATGCAGAAGACCTGGGTTTGATACTTGGGTCCGGAAGATCCCCTGGAGAAGGGCATGGCAACCCATTCCAGTATTCTGGAGAGTCCCATGGACAGAGGAGCCTGGTGGGTTACACTCCATGGGGTCACAAAGAGTCAGACATGACTGAGCAAATAACACACATAGACACACACACACACACACAGTCAGAGAAACAAGTGTCTAACATAACACAGGGGTGGGAGTGGCGGGGCGGGAATCAAAGTTCTCCCCTTCTGGGGAAAGCTCTAGGATTTGACTGAAAACTGCTTCATAAAGTGGTCCAAGGACTCCGAGGTCTCCCAGCAGTTCCGAGCTGAAGGCTGGACCCGCTCTGGTTGGCTTCTGACTCTGTTTCTGTTAAGGAAAGGGCTTTCCTGAGCCTGAACTTGCCCTCCCTGCTGATCACCAGCCTTTAACCACAGCTGCATGAGAGTGTTGTTTTCTGGACTCAGGGGACCAGGAAATCAGCTGATCCTGCCTCCGGTGGGCTCCCAAGGCCCACCCACCAGATGGCGTCATGAAAAACTGCACATCGACCCTCGGGTTTTCTGCTCGTGGAAAGGACCGCCTCCCAGGCTGCCCTTTGAAAGGTTCTGCCGGCCCTGCCCCAGTTTTCTTGCTGGCGGTGCTCAGCGCACACGGAGCTGCTAGTTGCATCTTATGAGCTGCTGAAGGCCTGAGACAGGCAATGACGAGCACCATACCATACTCCCCAGTTCAGTGCAGGAACCGTATACAAGGCACAGACGTTACCTCGTGGCGTAATTTGAGCCCGCTGACGTGTATAGGTATTTCTAACTGAACCATAGACATCGTTTCCCATGTTGGTTTGTTTTGCTGGCATTCCCTCTTCAATCCCCCAACCCTTCAAACACTGGTTGTTCCTCCTTGAAGTCATAAAGACTTTCTGGGGTGGCCTGGGCTGTTTTGCTTCCTTTTTCTGTGCTTTGTCACAGTGCTTTGGTGGAGCAAATTAAGACAGGGAGGAAAGTCAGAGTGCTTCTAGAAGGACAGAGAAGACAGCGCCCACACTAGTGGCAGAGCTGGAGTGTGCATTCAGCAAGATAGAAAGGTCTAACGGATGACTCTCAGAAAGTTCGCTGATGGTGTGGGGCACAAACTCCCTCTGTTGTTTCTTGCATAGAATATTCATGAAGGGTGTGGTTCTGACTGATGGCTTTGTGTGAACAGAAGACACAAGAGTGTGTGAAGGTTTGCTGTGCGTGAAGATTTCCAGGTTCTGGTGGGTATGACAAGAACACAGCTCCCAGGTGCAGGGCCTGGAAGATGGGGGCCCTGGTGTGTTTGCACTGCCTGGGGAAGCACTCCTCATGTTGAAGGTGAATGTCACCCCCTAAAACTGTCTCAACCTGCACAGCCATCTGTGGGGCCCCAAATCAAAGGTCAGCTCTTCAGTGGGTTTGCTTTCTCAACATCAGCACACTTACAGAGCACCTCCTGTGTGGTGGGCTTTCCTGGTGGCTCGGCTACTAAAGAATCCACCTGGAATGTGGGAAACCTGGGTTTAATCCCTGGGTTGGGGGGATCCCCTGGAGAAGGGAAAGGCTACCCACCCCAGTATTCTGGCCTGGAGAATTCCATGGACTGTATAGTCCATGGGGTCAAAAAGAGTTGGACACGATTAAGTGACTTTCACTTTCCTGTGTATTTGGCTAGAATTTTATTCTTGCCTTGGAATTTCCCATATGTTGTAGGGAAGGTGAAATGAAATGCAGAGATAAAAATATAACATAGCATATGCCGAGTGTCACAGGAGCCGTATAGAAAACTCTTCTCAGAAATTCCAGTTCCATTAGATGTTCTGTGAAGTGTCGCAGAGTGGATTCAGTTGGGAAAACACTCATGGAGGCCTTCCTTGAGTGTTTCCTTGGAGACTCTCCATGCAGGTGAAGACTCTCCTTAGCATATGAAGGCTGGGGGTCTTGCAGCAGTGTAATCTGCAGACCTTTTGTTAACACTGAATTCCCTATTTGTTTGAACCTGGAACCTATTTTTGTAAAACACCAATGAAACATTCCAAGAAAAATGGTGAGATGCTGTTGTAGGGGACACACACTGAGGATTTAAGGGTGGAAGAAGTCACCGTGGGCTGGAATCACTGTACTAGGGAAACATTTCAGGGAAGCAGAGGAAAAGCGGCTCAGCCTCCCGAGATCCACAACAGTCAGGTGAGCAGAGTCAGGCAGGGAGGAGAGCGCTCGGGAAGCAGGAGAGTAAGGAACACACACACACACACACTTCACGTAGACATAGTCACACATGCAGGCACATACATACATATACAGACACATGCACACAACATACATGCACACACACATACGCATACACACATATACATGCACACACACACAATTCATGTAAACATAGTCACACATGCAGGCACATACATACACATAAATGCAGGCACACAACATACATACACATACACGCACACACACACAATTCATGTAGACATAGTCACACATGCAGGCACACACATACACATACAGACACACAGGCACACAACATACATGCACATACACACATAGCATACACACACACACAATTCACTTAGACATAGTCACACATGCATGCACATACATACACATAAATGCAGGCACACAACATACACACACATGCACACATGCACACAGACGCAAAATTCATGTAGACATAGTCACACATGCACGAACATACATACACATAAACGCAGGCACACACATACATATAAAGACACACAGGCATACAACATACATGCACACACATGCACACACACAATTCATGTAGACATAGTCACACATGCAGGCACATACATACACATAAATGCAGGCACACAACATTCACACACATGCACACATGCACATACACACATACGCACGCACACACACACACACCCCGCTATATCACAAGGGGTTTCAGTGTCCCGCCTGCAGTAAAGGGATGTGTTGAGTTTGCTCAGAAGATCCCATCAGCCTCTGTCATTGTGTCATCTTCGGTCCTGGAATAATCATCTTAGAGGGAACCTTTGAAATAACTAGTCTTATTGATGGTAGAACTGCTGTGAACTTAGGCTTCTAAAATGTCTTACTCTTAAACACAAATCAAAGGTGAATCATGTGACACAATAGCACGAGTTCTTTGTTTTTTACACATTTCTTCTCGTATTTTTAAAGTTACCCACAGTGATGAACTGGCATTGCTTAGTCTATTATACAGAATAAAAGCATTCCCCTCCCTATCCCCCCTTTAACTAGTTAAACTCATTAGGAATCACTTTTGATAACTCTTTAGAAGAATAAGCAAGATTAAGAACTTTATTTCTATTGTACCTTTAGGCAAGGCAGAGATTTTGTGAGGCTTTTAAAGGTAAGAATAAAACAATCAAATGTATGAAGGGTGTGGAGAAATGGAAGCCTTTCTACACTGGTGGTGGGAATGTAAATTAGTGCAGCCACAGCGGAAAATGGTATGGAAGTTTCTAAAAAAGATAAAAATAGAGTTGCCATATGATCCAGCAATCCCAATCCCGGGCATATATCAAGACAAAACTAAGTTGAAAAGATACGTGCACACTGATGTTCATAGCTGCACTATTCATAATAACCAGACATGGGGACGACCTAATGTGCATGGACAGATGAATGGATGCAGAAGGTGTGTATGTGGTGGAATAGTACTCCCCCACAGAGCAGAATGAAATAATGCCATCCGCAGCAACACGGATGGATCCAGAGATCACCACACTCAGTGAGGTGAATCAGAAAGACAAACACCGTATGTCACTTACATGTGGAATCTAAAATATGACATCAGTGACTGTGAGACAGAAAACAGAAACAGACCCACAGACAGAGAGAACAGACCTCTGACTGCCAAGGGGCATGTGGGTGGGGGAGGGATGGAGTGGGACTCTGGGATTAGCAGATGCAAACTATTCTACATAGAATGGATAAACAGCAAGGTCCTAGTGTATAGTACAGGGAACTCTATTCAATATCCTGTAATAAGCTATACTGGAAAAGAAAAAAATAAAATGTCACATACAGATGACCAATGAACACAGGAAAGGATGCTCAACACTGCTCATTATTAGAGAAATACAAGTCAAAACTATAATGAGTACACAAATCAGAATGGCCATCATCAAAAAATCTACAAATGACAAATGCTGGAGAGGGTGTGGAGAAAAGGGAATGTTTTTGTATTGTTGGTGTGAGTGTAAATTGACCCAGCCACAATGAGAACAGTATGGAGATGCTGATGCCTTAAAAAAAAATAAAAGGAATAAAACCACTATATGACCGAACAATCCCACTACTGGGCATATACCCTGAGAAAACCATAACTCAAAAAGACACATTTACCCCAAAGCTCACTGCAGCACTGTTTATAATAGCCAGGACATGGAAACAGCCTAGATGTCCATCGAGGGATGAATGGGTTAAGTTGTGGTACATATACACAATGGAGTATTACTCAGTCATAAAAAGGAATGAATCTCAGTCAATCTTAGTGGGGTGGATGAACCAAGAAGCCTGTTATACAGTGAAGTAAGTCAGAAAGGGAAAAATAAATGCTGTTTATTAATGCATATATGTGGTATCTAGAAAGATGGTCCTGATAAACCTATTTGCAGGGCAGGAATCGAGATGCAGACATAGCGGGGGAAGGAGAGGGTGGGATGAATTGAGAGAGCAGCATTGAAACCTGTACATTACCGTATGTAAAATAGATAGCTAGTGGGAAGTGGCTATATAACACAGGAAGCCCAACCTCGTGCCCTGTGACAACCTAGAGGGGTGGGGTGGGGGGTGGGAGGGAGGTTCAAGAGTTGGGGGGACACGGGTATACTCACGGCTGATTCACGTTGTTGTCTGGCAGAAACCAATACAACACTGTAAAGCAATTATCCTCCAATTAAAAATAAATTAAAAAATAAAATGTCAAAAAAGACATGTATGTTATCAAACTGAACACAGTCATATTAATACTCAATCATTTAGAACAATGATTCTCAACTGGAGACAATTTTGTCCCCCAGGGAACATTTGGACACAACTGGAGACATTTTTGAACATCACTGCTTGGGAGCTGGGTGTCTTGGCATCCATGGGTGGAGTTGAGGATGCTGGTAAACAGCTTATAATGCACAGGACACCCTCTATTACTAAGAGTTGTTCAACTTAAAATGGTAATGGTACTAAGTTGGAAAAACTTGAATTTCAAGATACAGACAGGGTGGTTCAAACCCATCTTCTAGTTTCTAAAGTGAAATGTTTCATGAGTATATGAACTGAGTTCTTGTTAAAAAAGGGCAAAAAATAAAAGTCACTGCATGAAGTTTCTCTGCATTCTGTAGGGACAGAGTTGGTGGCATTCAGCAAAATGGTAATGTAATCACCGCTCCTGACTTCATTTTGGAGCACAGAGCTTGATTATACACGATAGCTCGCATGGTGAGAAAAGAAAATTGTCGTGATGGTACAGGAAGAAATAACCATCCCCAAAAGTGCTTGGGAGGTTTTAGCAACAGAACTGGTAGCCCGTGGAGATGGAAGAGATGGATTGTCACCTTGTTCCTAACACAGCTGAGCCCTCCTGGCGGCAGCACGCTGCGTCCAAAGGACCTTGTCAAGGAAAGGCTGGAGTTGCCAACAGCTTCCCTGGGCAAGAGAGGGAGGGAAAGAGCTGAAACTTTCCATCGCTCTGTGAACTGCTGAAACACAGAGCACAAAGGAGAAGCAGCTATAACAGCTTTTATGCAAGCAGCTGCTGTAGACCCTGCAGATGTTCAAGGAGCCTGAAAGAGGACACTTTGCCCCGTCCCACGAGACGTAGATGATTTTCACTGAACCTCACTGACTCGGTGGGCAAAGCTTTCTGAGCGAGATGTCTTATCATTTTTCTTGGTTCTCTATAAACACATGGCAGGAGGTACGGCTCTGTAAAATTCTAGTCTGTTAGAAGGGTTTCCCCGGTGGCTCAGTGGTAAAGAAACTGAGGAGATGCAGGACATGCAGGAGACTCAGGTTCCATCCCTGGGTCAGGAAGACTCCCCTGGAGGAGGAAGTGGCAACCCACTCTAGTATTCTTACCTGGAAAATCTCATGGACAGGGGAGCCTGGTGGGGCTATAGTTCCTGGGGTCTCAAAGAGTCAGACACGACTGGGCGATTGAGCACACACTGTCTGTTAGAAATAGAAGGAGGTACAGATGTGAACTCTGGGTATTGTTTACTCCTGTATAGGACAGAAGCAAGAAGAGTCGGAACTGTGGTGACTGCATCTGGGACCTCTGGGTCACTGGACGGCAGGTACCTCCCCTTTCTTCCGTCACTCTGAAAACACTCCCAATTCAGTGTGGCTTCAGTGCTCTTCCAGTAGATGATGAAGGATGTGAGGTAAGCTGAGAATGGGAGAAACATGTCTGCTGGCACAGAGTTTTGGGGAGAAGCACACAGCTGGGGGACACCCTGGAGTGGTTTCCAGAGGCTGATTTCCAAGTTTTGAAGGTGAGTGGCCAGGGATGTGGGTACATAAGTCCCAGCCACCAGCCCAAGTGCAGCTTGGTCTAAATGATAAAAGAAGACCCTTCTGCAAGATGATTTTCTCCTATCCTCCAGAAAATTGTCATAATAAGTATACAATATACAGTGACTACTTCATCAGACACCACCCCTCAAGTTGTGCGAAGCACAGTCTACAAAATCATAACAAAGCAGCTCTGGTGAAAATAATAGTGGTCATCGAAGGCTGACATTTTAAAATTTCAGTGGTCTTAGTTCATCCCCAGTTAACAAGAGAAAGCTCTTTCTTCTTAGAACCAAGCCAGCTAACAGATTTAGGAGAAAGGGTAGAACCAGAAAAAGCATCATTTTTGCACCTCCCGTTTAAATAACTGATGCAGGCAAAGATCATCAATGAATGCTAAAACTACTCAGGGAAAGGTCCCTGCAGAACAGACTTCCATGGTGCCAAAGTATCACCCTACAAATTATTTGTTTTTCAAAAAGAACCAAACACGTCTTTTTCCCTTTAACTCTCCCATTATAGCTTTACTTATTTACACACTATTCATTGACCTCTGTACAGATGCATTTCTAAAACACACACACACACACACACAATACATCTAAAAGAGTGAATTATAAATAGAAAAAAGTATGAGGCAGGATCAAGATGGCAGAGTAGGAAGCCCTGAACTCCCCTCCTCCCATGGATATACTGAAACTACCACTCCACAGAGAGCAACCCTCTAAGAATGGATGACCTGAAGCCAAACCGCTCTTCCGTAACTAAGGTTATAAGGGAAAAAGCACAAAGATGGATGGTGGGGCAGAGATGCGATCGACTCAGGACCCACACCCCCAGCGAGGGGACCCACAAGCAGGAGGGGGAACCCCAGAGGCAAGGTTTTCCCTCAGTAGCTAGGGGTTCAAGCCCCACGCTGAGCCGCCCTACCCTCGGGACCTGAGCCTCTATGATGCCTGGCTTTGAAAGTTGGGGTGTGTACATCTGGGAGAGCAGGGGAGCTGGGAATCCGAGACTCCTCTGTTTTTTTTAGAAACCTTAAAAAAAAAAAAGTTGATTTACAATGTGTTAATTTATGCTATAGTGCAAAGGGGACTCAGTTACACATTTAGTCTTTTTTATATTATTTTCCATTATGATTTATCCCAAAACACTGATAGAGCTCCCTGTGCTGCAAGCTACGACGTCATTGTTTCTCCGTTCTATGTATGATGGTTTGCACCCAATAACCCCACACTCCCCCATCCCCCCCTCCACATCCCCCTCCCCCTGGCAAACACAAGTCTGCGCCCCGTGTTTGCGGAGACTCCGAGGGGCTCACACGCACACTCACCGGCCCCAAGTCCCAGTGCAGAGGCAGCGGTTTGAAAAGGAGCTGTCCGTGTGTGGAGAAGATCCACTGACCGCTTCTGTTTTTGTTCATCTCTATTGGAGTGTAGTTGCTTTCAGTGCTGTGCCGGTTTCTGCTGGAGAGGAAAGTGGATCAGCTGTGTGTGCACATCCATCCCCTCTTTTCAGATTTCCTTCCCGTTTAAATGACGCAGAGCCCTGACGGGAGCTCCTAGTGCTCTTCAGGAGATTCTCATCAGTTTTCTATTTTATACATAACGTCAGTAAATATCTCAATCCCAATCTTCCAGCTCCCCTCCAACTCCCCCTTCCCCTCTTGGTAGCCATAAGTTTGCTCCCTACATCTGTGTCTCTATTTCTGCTTTGCAAATGAATTCATCTGTATCACTTTTTCTAGGTTCTAGGTATAATCGCTGACTACTTTCTGGGTGAGTGCCAAAGGGGCAAGAATCTTGTGGACCTGTCTCTAGGGACTGGGTCGCTGACGGGTTCCCCTCTACCTAGCTACCTTGCTGTCTCTGACTCTGGCCAGCTGCCTTGCCAGCACTGGCTGCTCCAGCATCCCCTGCGGACTCCCCCTGGCTGCACCCCTCCACAGCGGCTCCCCTGCACCCCGCACACTCAGAAGGCAGCCTTGGAAGGGACCAGTGTCCTGACCACCCTTGTTCAGGCAGCAGGACCCCTTCCTTAGGGTCTTTCCAGCCCCTTTCCCTCCTTTAAAGTCTCCTGGGCTGTTATCATTTTCAAAATATATTCATACTTTACATATGTAGATCTCTTTGCATATTACACGTTGATTGCCTCTCTTGCCTTATTGGAATGTAGGCGCAGCCTTCCTACCCTCAATGAAGCATGATGGTGCTCAATAGGTTTGTGTAGCATTTGCTGAATGAAAGAGCCCATTGTGCATTCATGGAAGGGCCGTGGGCCTGATGCTGCTAGGACAATAGGAAAATGGATAAAAGGCAGCCTCTGCTCCTTGCAGACGTAGTCCACCTGCCTCCCTGCCTCTGCTCCCAGCACTGTTCACATCATCATTATCTCCCAAACATAGACCTTTTGTTTTTATTCCCCTTTCCCGTTTCTCATATTCTTTTTTTTTTTCTTAAGTTAAGAAAGTTAAGGTATTTTTTCTTAAGTTAAGGACACTTAACTCTCACCCAATTATTCTAGGGAAATATCTTTTCCTCCCTTAAAAGAAATCACTGTGTCTAATGAGCAGAGAAGGTGGTATTAGTAATTACATATTTATTCAAAGAAAGTCAAATTTGAAGAGAAAACAATAATAATAGTATTATCAGTTGGGAACATCTAGTAAGTGTTTGCCATATGCCTGACTCACTGCCAGGCAACTTCTATGCATGGCCTCATTGAATCAGCACAGATAAGGACTCCACGTCAGCAAGAAGTAACCTGTCCTGATCTCAGAGCCAGTAACTGGTCTGAACCAGTGTTGGTCTGACTCCAGGGCCTGAGCCGTCCCAGGGGTAACAGAGGCTGTGCTGTTGGGTCTGCTGTCACCCTCTTGGGGGGTTCCTGCATCCCCACCCTGCCACCGCTATTCACGTTCCTGCAGCCATCAACCCACTCTGACCTCAGCTCTTATCACCTGAACGGTGAAGCGTGCCTCTGGAGGGTTCTCACTGATTCCCCGTGCCATTCACTGCAACTGGCAATGTAATAGAAGCAGGACCTCCATATTTGTGTATCTACTCACAGATCAGACGTCAAAACCGGAGTTCCAAACCAGTGTCTGCTACCTGCTAGCGCTATCGAGGTGGGCAAGTTATTGAACCCTTCTTTTTTAAAGTATTTTTTAAAAATGTCATTGGAGTATAGTTGTTTTACAATGCTGTGTTAGTTTCTACTGTAGAGTGAATAGCTGATATATGTATAAATATATTCCCTCATTTTTCGATTTCCTTTCCATATAGGTCACCACAGAGCATTAAGTAGAGCTCCCTGTGCTGTATAGTAGGTTCTTATTAGTCACCTATTGTATACATAGCATCAGTAGTGTACATACATCAATTCCAATCTCCCAATTCATCCCCCTCCCCATTTTAAAAAATATTTTCAGTTTATTTTCTTTTCAATCCTCATTCAGTGATTTTCAAACTTTTTTAGTTTGATCATGATTTTTTCAAATCTAATATTACTTAATATATTTTGTTGTTTGGTTGCTAAGTCGTGTCCCACTCTTTTGCAACCCCATGGACTGTAGCTTGTCAGGCTCCTCTGTTCATGGGATTTTCCAGGCAAGAGTACTGGAGTGGGTTGCCATTTCATTCTCCACGCCTCCATATTTTTCAAAGTATTTATTGGAGAGGTTTTATTTTTTCATTTTAAATAGATTTTACCAATTGTCAAAGGAAATAAACTTGCTGGATAATTTCTTAGCCTTCTATTTCAATCCTCCTCAGCATGCAAAGCCATATGCTAAAAAACTTGCCCAAACGTGTGAAGTTACCACCAATCTTTGATTAACAGAAGTAATGGAACTTGGAAAAGATTCCTTACTGAATAAGCCTAGAATAATTTGTAATCCATATAAAAATATACTTCAACACTATTTCACCTCACACACAGAAGCCAATTCTAAGTACATTGAAGGCATGTACATTTAAGTATATTAAGTAAAGAAGGCAAAACTCAAATTATTTAGTCCTTCTGAACCTTAGGTTATGCATGTGTGATATGGGCAGAATGACGCCAGGGCTCCAGAGTGACGTGAGTGACCTCAGACGTGTCTGCAGGGACAGCAGCTGCTCCGGGCACTGGGTCACCGTCCACGTCTCTCCTGCCCTGACTGACTCTTCCACTCCACCTTGTACGGGATTTCAGCTGTGCCACGTCTTACCCATCATGGGCTGAATTAGTCATCTGTTACTGTACAACAAATGACTCCAGATTTTGCAGCCTAAGGCAATACACATCTATTGTCAAAGTTTCTACGGGTCAGAGATCTGGGCACAGCTTCCCGGGGGGCATTCTGGCTCAGCCCCGGTGCGAGGTTACAGTGAAGATGTCAGCCGGCCTGCAGTCAGCTCAAGTGCAAGACTCTGCCCCCAAGCTCACTCATGTGGCTGCTGCTGCGCTTCAACAGACCGGCTTCCAGGCTTGTTTAGGTGGGTGTCTCTGCAGGGCTGTCTCGGGCCATGGCGGCTGGCTCCCCCCAGAGCAAGTCACCCTAAGACAGAAGGAGACAGGACACCCATGATGGGAGTCGTGGCTTTTTACAACTGAACCACGTCTCTCGAATTTGCTGCCTTTTGATTCATTAGAAGCAACTCAAGCAATCCAGCCAACACTTGAGAGGAGGGAGTCACATTGGAACCTTTACTGTGTCCTGAGACGGGGAGGTTGCTGGGGCCCTGTGAGAGTCTGCCTACCACATGGTTTAGTCCTAGAGACCTAGCCCAGGGATTGTCCAGCTGTATTTCATCGCTTTCATAAGAAAGGTAGCCCTGTCTTTCAGTAAGACACTTGCACACTATGAAAATAAAAACACTGCTAAGCAGAGTAACCGGCTGTACCAGAAGAGCTTCGACATTCCCCACGAAGAAAACAATAATTACGACTTCTTTTGTGTAATCTTAGAACTTAACACACCATCTGTACTTTTCAATTCCCACTCTAACTGTACTTTCCCTTTGAGCTGGTTTATTTCTTAAAAACCATTTCCCCTTTGGCTGTCTACTTGGAACATTTTCCACTTCCTCTTCTTTGGTTTGCACACACACACACACACACACACTCCAGCTTCCTTCCTCAGGGAGCCCTGAAGATCAGGTAGGTAGCCATGGAGACATGGAAACATTACTCCCAGCCCACACGGGGAAGGCGGCTTGTTTATTGTTCCCAGCGAAGGCACCGTGAGCTGCAGCCGCCTCCCCAGGCTGCAGTGCTCTGCCTGGGTGATCTGGGCTCTCCCCCCTCTTTGTGCGGCTGGCTTCCCCTTAGCTACGCACTGCCTAGTTGCATTAGCCTCCCAAGAGGTATGACCACAGATCAGATCTGATAGTTGCATCCTTTTAGGTTTTAAAGATAGGTTATACTGTATAGATACTAAACTATGTATGATGTAACTAGATAAACATATCATAAATACTAAATCAGAATTATAAATATTAACAATTTACTGTATTAGTAGGAAAACGTACCTTTTATAAAAACACAACCTGCTTGGAAATTAAGAGAGTCAATACAACAATTTGACATTCTGTGTTCTTCCATCTCTATGAATTACAGAGAATATTTTATTAGGGACAGCATTTAATTCCTGGCTTGTCGGTGACAGTCAATCACTCTATTAAACTTAACAATTTCTGTTTTTGAAGTATTCTTTCTCAGTAGAGAGAAATGAGGAGCCAGATGAACATAGAAGGGGACTGTAAGCGGCTGTGAACAGGTGACTATTCTGAGGTAAACAGATGTGATGATGACAGTTACACTGGGAAGAGGAAAAGTAATCATGGAAAAATGGAGATGCCCTGGCTGTGAATCATGGAAGAGAAATCCTTGCAAAAATGAAAACCCGATAGGATGTTTCCTTATGATGGATTTTGTGCCATTTACTTTTGCTAAAAAGTATACTAAGCAGACTGCTGTTTACATTTGCTAAAAGGTATACTGAGCACAGGACCGGAAAAGGTCAGTTTTCATTCCAGTCCCAAAGAAAGGCAATGCCAAAGAATATTCAAACTACCACACAATTGCACTCATCTCACACGCTAGCAAAATAATGCTCAAAATTCTCCAAGCTAGGCTTCAACAGTGTGTGAATTAAGAACTTCTAGGTGTTCAAGCTGGACTTAGAAAAGGCAGAGGAACCAGAGATCAAACTGCCAACATCTGTTGGGTCATCAAAAAAGCAAGAGAGTTCCAGAAAAACATCTACTTTTGCTTTATTGACTATGTTAAAACCTTTGTGTGGATCACAACAAACTGTGGAAAATTCTTCAAGATATGGGAATACCAGACTACCTTACCTGCCTCCTGAGAAATCTGTTTGCAGGTCAAGAAGCAACAATTAGAAACCAGACATGGAATAATGGACTGGTTCCAAATTGGGAAAGGAATATGTCAATGCTGTATACTGTCACCCTGTTTATTTAACTTATATGCAGAGTACATCATGAGAAACGCTGGGCTGGATGAAGCACAAGCTGGAATCAAGATTTCCAGGAGAAATTATCAATAACCTCAGATATGCAGATAACATCACCCTTATGGCAGAAAGCAAAGAGGGACTAAAAAGCCTCTTGATGAAAGTGCAAGAGGAGAATGGAAAAGCTGGCTTAAAACT